GACTTGCTGCTTTAGTTTTCCTTCCTTTTAACACTGTAGTCACTATTGAAAATGCTTTCTTGTGTACATATTACATGCATATGCATATACATAATTTGGTCCGTGCTTTTTTAAAGTTCATAGTTTATAAAAAACTTCAGCTGTAACCCCTGGTCCCTGGAACAACATAGCCCCTGAATAATTTAGGTCAGGTCAGCCCCCACCCTAAACATCATTTATTTAGTAAATAGGGTTCTTTTCTAGCAAATGTTTGGTTAAGAAAATTGTAATTTAAGAGCAATAAATGTCATATTTTCCCTTGATCTTTTTATTATTATTTGATATTTAATGTGTTTATTGCATGCTGCTAGAGTTGCTTGAGTAGGTGGCATATACATTTTCTGTAGATAATGATTGCCAGAATATGGTGACTTGAAAATGAATATAGATAGTTCTTAACTTGCAACCGATTACTTAAAGATTGTTTGAAGTTATGACAGACCCCGAAAATAGGCTTATGACCTGGATTTCAACTTCTGATGTCCAGGCCTTCCCTGTGGTCACATGTGGTCACCATTTGAGTGCTTGGCAACCAACATTTATAACCGTTTGCAGTATCTCACAGTCATGTTACTATGATTTATGATGCTTTTGCTGGAAACCAGCATTTACTATCAGTTTCTATACCATTGAGAACAATGGGCTTGCTTAACAACTGCAGTGTTTCCTTTATGACTGCCATTTTTTTGTGACTATCACATTTATAACAACTGCCACAAAAAAGAAATGGTAAAATCATGACTGTCATGATTTATGAGTGACATTGTGGGCTCAATTACAGTCATAAGTCTAGGATTACCAGTAGTTTATATTTATTAACCTAATTCCTGAGTCAAAAGTTCTATATTCTTTGTGATCTTAAACAATAAAAAAACAAATATCCAAATGCAAGCTTGATTTTGGAACATAAATTACCTCAGTTGGTCTTTGAGATGACCTGAAGTACAATCTTTCTCTTGTAGAGAAACAAATGAAGTAAAATTCTTTAGGTTTTCTGGATCTCACCAGTTTCTTCTAGATCAGGAGTGTCAAACTCTATTTCATTGAGGGCCGCATCAGGGTTGTGTTTGACATCGGAGGGCTGGGGGTGGGCGTGGTGGGCATGACATGGGACATGGCCATGGTGGGCATGACATGGGACTCATCTCGGGGGGATGCACCTGTGGTGGCTAAGTGCTAAGGCAGGATTTCTCTGAGACCCTCCCTCACTCTCATTATACAGGTAATCCTCGAATTACAAATGTAATAGAGTCTGCCAATTACATTCATATCGAAAGGATTCATTTGATTGAATCATGTTAAATGAACGTGATCACTCCCTGCTTTCCCCAATGCATTTGTTAATCGAATGTGCAATTAATTAAATTATTAATTGCATTAAACAAACATAAGGTATCTCAGAGTGGGGAAGAACATGCGGAGCCTAGTGCTGGAACAGGCAATCCAAGGCCTCCCCCAATCCACTGAGATACCTCATGCTCCCCTGGGGTCCCCACAATTGCTTTTCCTCCATCCTGCCCCGCCAGGTCTCCACAGACTGGGCCTGCTTTGCTAGCATCCCAGATTTCACTTACTCCTCCCAACTCCATTTCCCATGGATTACTTACTTTTTGAAGCTCTCCAGAGCTCCAGAAGAGGCTGACCCACTGGCAGAGAAGTCAAAGTGATGATGATGATGATGATGATGATGATGATGATGATGATGATGGCGGCAAAGCTGTAACAATGTGAAATCTAAGGAAAACTTTTTCGCCAGGGGCCTCTGGTAGAAAAGGCCCCCAGCTTCAGGGATTGAGGCAGCAGCAGCAGCCAATCAACAAGGAGCTTGCTTCCTTTGTTTCATCGGGCTGAACTATAAGCCCCTCGTTGTTTGGCTGCCATGCTCCAATCCCTGAAGCTTCTTATTCGAATTAGCCAGTCAGCAGCAAGCAGGAGGCTGCTCCTCTCTGGCCAGTGTTGTGACCCCGACTCCCAAGCCTGTCCTAACAGAGGAAGAGGACTCCGAAGGTGATGGGGAGGAATTGATAAGGCCTCCCTCTCCAGGACCCTCCTCTCTGGTAATGCCTCAGGTTCCATCTGAAGGCCAAGAAGAACAGCCTGGGATATGCCAGGAGGAAAGCATATTGGAACAACAACAGATAGGGAGCGAGGATGATGAATCCTGGCTTGATCCCAGGCAGCATCGGAGGGAGAAGCGTGCGCAGCAACGAAAGAGGCGTGAGAAGGACAAAGATTGAGCTGAATCACTGAGCCACACCCCACAAGGAATAAAAGTGGGTGTGATTGCTCTTCAGGCTTTGTGACAGTCAAAGTTAAAAACCTGAGAGTCACATTGTGTTACCTGAAATCTGGCTTGTGCATATTTGGATTGGATCTTGCGAACTATTGCTTCGTGGATTACTTTTTGCTACTGAATCAGACTGAGGATAAACTCTCTCTTGCTTACTGTGAGTGAAAACTGACTTGGAAAGCATTTCGCAGTTTACTGCCAAAACTCTTATCTGCAAGGGTTTCTAGTCTGATTGCTTCATAAAATCTTGGCAGGTGTGCCTGGTTGTGTGTTTGCCTGTGTGGGGAAGGGGGACAGAACATCCAGACAGGGCCCAAACTAAGTCTCCAGACCCTCATAACAGAGAAACCAGTCTTTTATGCAGATGGGGAAAGCTGTTTTCCTTACATCTCACATTCTTACAGTTTCATGGGCTTCTGAATAAAAGACTGCGGCTTCTCTGCCACATGGGTCAGCCTGTTCTGGAGCTACAGTAAAGCCCACGGAGGCTCCATTTGGCCTGTAACAGGCTAGGGAAAGCCCGTGGAGAGCCGAATGGAGTCTCAGAGGGCCGGATTTGGCCCACTGACGCTCCATTTCAGCTAGTGACGGGTCGGGGGAGGCCTCTGGAGGCCCAAACACACAGGCCCACACGCACCCCATTTTCACTAGTAGAGGCACCCCAGGTCAGTTCTTTGCTATTTCCATGCCAGTCCATGGGCCTTGAGTTTGACACCCCTGTTCTAGATAAATTTAATTGGATGGTAGTGATTTCTCCTGGATGGCCATTTCCAGAAGGTTCTAAAGGGGATTATTGTTATGCTGAGGCTGTTTATATTATGAGGTGATTCAGTGCTCCTGCTTTTCAATATATTTTTATAAAAGTACTGCCCAATTAGGTGCACCCAGGAAGCCATCTATGGAACACCAGTCATATTTTCCAAAAGACAATGTTTTTGAGTTGTATTATTATTTCTACTAGAAGTCATGATCCTCATGACTAACCTTACTTAAAAGATACCATTAAATTAGTGTATTAACATTTTAAGAAAGAAATTCAAGAACACAATCCTCACTTTGAAGAAAATGTCAGAACAAGTTGTAATCTAGAGTTAAAAAGTAAAAACCTTTCTGTTAAAAGCTTGTTATAAGCTTGTCATTGCTGTTTAAGAACATGAAGAATGTTGATAGTATTTATGTCCTTCACGGTGGATTCTTTCTAAGAATCTTGCATGAGCCAAAAGAATATCTTTGACACTTTATTAATACTTGGTTTAAAAAAGGTGTTTAAAAATTAAATAAGCATTGTTAAACAGAAACATTCATCTGGAAATATTTTCCAATGTTTATATTGGGTTTCTTATCTTCCTATCTCTCTATGTTTCTGTGTACTGAAGAAAATGACCTCCATAAAAACATTGCAAATGATTAAACTCCTTTAAGATGTCAGATATTTAACTTTAATTAGAGACTTTAATGTAAAGTGGTCTGGCTATGCAGAACCTATACACCTTTAAATTCCTTCTCCCAAAAAGTTAAGAATGTTGAATTTTTACAATGTATTCTTACAATGAACAGAAAGTTGGATCCTTATCTTTTGGCCTGCAAAAGGCTTCCACTGCTTGAAAGTCTATAAATGATTCAGAAGATGTGAGAGAGAAAATTGTTTCAAAACTGTCAATATTCTATGGAAATTGAATTGTACAGTTTAGGATATAGATTTGTATAATATCAAATGGCATAATTGTTAATCTTTCAATTGGTAAGTTTCATCTTTATATTGGTCATCACCAGTGTGTTTCTAAGGGATGTTTAAGACATTGGAGAATTAAAACACACACATGAAATTGCAATAATCTGCTTTATTCCTTTATATCATCTGTAATGACAGATCTACTTTCACAGTTTTTATGGAGGTCATAGTTTCTAGGGTCAGATAATTTGTAATTCAGACTTTATATGAACAGATGATCTAATGATTTAGGACTAATTTAAATGAGCAGTTTGGTTCATCTAAATCATAGATCAGAGGTGCTCAATTTTGGCAACTTTAAAACTTGTGCACTTCAGCTCCCAGAAATCCCCAGGCAACATGGCTGGCTGAGTTATTCTGCAAGTTGAAGTCCATGGGCTTAAAGTTACCAAGGTTAGACACTCCTGTCATAGATTATTTTTTCTTTTCTATGATTCTTCCCCTTCCCCCTTTAACAGAGTACTATATCCAAAAGCTTGTATTTTAACTAAAAGTATAATAGTCCAGTTACTCTAATATTCAGACAAGTCAATATAATTTCTCTTTGCTATAAATTCTTGTTTAAAAATATATACCTTGGTATGTTGGTACTGAACTGCTTTGAAATTCATCAAATTAGGTACTCAACATATTTTGACATGAAAATTCTGTCCTAGTATTCATTGTTTGTTTGATACTCAACTCAGAAGCTAGAACAATTCATTGTTGGCTGCCTTTATTCCTTGTGTGGAAAAATGTACAATAAAAATACAATACAATAAAAATTCAGTTATGATCTAGAGAAGTTTGGCTATATGGATCCCTTGTTATATGTTCTGTTTTGTATTGAATTCAATACAGTTTCTTTTTCTTTATAAGTTTCATTTTTAGTAAAAAGATATATTGTTCTACTAATGATTTCTACCCATTTTACTTAGCATTTTTGTTTTTCATCATTAGGTTATTTGATGTATGCACAGTATCCCGAACTGAACGAGAGACGAAATTAACACTGGTGTTTGAACATGTTGATCAAGACTTGACCACTTACTTGAATAAAGTTCCAGAGCCTGGTGTTCCTAGTGAAACTATAAAGGTATAAAAAGGGGAGGGGGGAAGAAGAATTTGTACAATTTGTACATTTTTATTAAATGTATAAAATTGTTGAAACATACGTTTAATAAAAAACATTTTTGAGGAAATATGTATCAAGTTAAATGTATCTATAGTTTCATAGATTGTCTAAGAAGAAATTTAATCAAACTACAATTCATGTTGTTGACAGGTTGGGATTTCTCACCAAGCACGGTTGGTAGTGCATAGATTTTATCCATCAGTTATGAAAGACAAGGAACCAGAGGAGAAGATTGCCATAACATTTGTGCTTACGCTTAAAAAACAGTTCTTTTTATAATTGAAAGGCCAGAGTGTTTATTATTAGCTGTTAAAAGGAAGGAACTACAGCTCAATGGTAAAGATCATGTTTTGCATGAAGATTCCAGGTTTTGAAGGCATTTCCTTCTATAGCTTAAAACGCTTGCTGCTACTTGTAGTAAAATGAAAATGCTGAGTCAGATGAAGCAGTGGAGACAGTAAAAGTAACTGCCACATGATTTTGATATGATGATCTATAATTTTGTTATCTCTTACTTGATATATTTTTTCCTACATTAGTTATACTTCTAGGTAAGGATGATAAAATCACAACTGTCTGCAAAATATTCTGGACTTGTCAAGTAACAGAGTCCCCTGGGATTGTATTGATAAATGTTAGAGACAAAGTTATGATTTTTATTTTTATTTTTGTGGCATGACTTTTCCCAACTTATCCTGATTCAAAAAGGAAATGGTGATTTGGAGCACACATTGATGTACACATCATGTTTGTCAGCAACTTCTTAAAGGAAGCTTTGTCTTTTTCGTCCAGACCATTGCTTCTTTGAGTAGTTGGCTGCAGGCATGATGTGCACATCAGTATGTGCTCCAAATAATCTTTTCCCTTTTGAATCCAGATGTTATAGAGCCCTAATAAGCCCTTGTATATTAAGAGTGTATTTAAAGGCAAGAATATTTAGCAGCTCTATGGCTTAGATGTTATCTTAGAGACTTGTTATAATTTTATGTTATTTAACCTAGTTTCCATGCTGTACATTGTTTTAGTAGATGTTCAAGAATCATATTGCACATGCATGTGAAATTGTGAAATGTGGTGTTCCCAAGGACATATGTATGTATATATTTGGGTATTCAGATATCCATGCAAATTGTTCCAGAAATCTTTGAAAATATGTTAAAAAAAGTGGAAGTTCTTTTCTAAGCATCTACATAGTGATTAATCCTATGACTGACTCCTGAGGATGACCTCAATGGGGGGAAAATCCAAACAAATTCTCTTAGGTTTGTTTCTTCCCAAATTTATGAAAAATGTGTATTTTTCCCTTTTTTTTCTTGCTATGTTCTATAATCACCATGTTATTCCAGTTTCTGGTTCTTTAAGTTTCAAATCTGTTCAGATAGAACTTCCTTCATTTTGAGAATGATTTTATCTTCTAAGGGAAGCCCAGACAAAGGCACACATTATTAGAGTTAAAATATAGCTGACTGCAAACAAAAAATAATGCATGGAAACATAAATGAAATACAGAGCTGTACTGTTTGGGTGATTAATCCTTTAGACATTTCGGCGATTAAAATATTTTCACTTCAATAAAGTGGGCCTAATATTGCAGAACCTAAAAGATCATGCAGTTAAGGAAAAAAAGGCACCCAGTTAAAATTCTTCTAAACTGGCATTTCTTCAGAATGGAAAAATTCTGTCCACTTCTCTCTCTTTCTTTGGGGAGTGGGTGTATTTTTGGTTTTTCCTTTACTTTTTACCCTATCAGTATGTATGCAGAATAAGATCTGAGGGAAAAAAAATCTCATATTATTTTTAATATGGTAAAGCATTCAAAGATTTACTTAACTGCACATGCATACTAAAGACATACAATAATTTCAGCAGAGAAATATCACTCTATTATTTTTAGATATTTATCAGCTTTGAAATTTTTTGGTGTCATATGTTAAACCATATTTTAGTGTTATGTAATCAGATTTTCTGCTTGTCTGTCATTGGTCATGTGAAAGTGTTCATAATATTTCCTTCTGTTTTCAAATAACTTCTGTTTCTTGTTTAAGCAAGCCAACTGCATAACCCACAGTTTTACGTTGGCTTGTTTTCAACAAATAGTGGTGAACATTAACCAGAATTTGATGGTTAAAGTTGTTGGTAAGCAAAATCATCTAAAGTGCTTACAGCTGCATCAGAGAAGAAAAAACAAAGAACAAAAGTTAAAAACAAAATTTTTTTATCATGATGCCTGGACTCAACTAACATATCAAGTACATTTTGTTTTCAAGGGTTTTTGATTGTTGCTGTGACTACAGATAGCTAGGAAACAGTCTTGTACTTGACTTCAGAAATAATATGTCTTGACTGTATAGGAACTTTTGCAAGTCCATAGAAGACTCTAATGTAGAAGAATATAATTGTGGAAGAACAATAGTTAGCATGTTTGAAATACAGGTGTCAAAACTGAAGGCATAGGTCACTTTAAGCTCTAAGTATGAAAAAAGCAACTTTCTGTAGAAGATTGAGGATTGAATAATGGTCAGATACAGAACTAGGTTGCAGAAACAGAACAACATTGTAGAAACAACAATTATAGTAATTAGTAATGATTTGAAAGTACGATTTGATTTTTCAAAAATGACTTATAGCTAGTCCTCCCACTCATGACTATCACAGCATCCTCACAGTCATATGATCATAATCCAAGCAATTGGTCATATTTATAATAATTTCAGTGTCCTGGGATTATGTGATTGCCATTTACAACTTTCCCAGCTGGCTGCCAACAAGCAAAATCAGTGGGAAAACTGGCAGGGAAGGTTGAAAATTGTGGTCTTGCATCTTATTTAACAACCACAGTGATTGTCTTAACAAAAATGGCAAAAAAGAGTGTAAAATTGGGTGCAATCATGTGATGCCACACTTAACATTTTTTTTTAATTTGATTTATATGCCGCCCTTCTCCGGAGACTCAGGGTGGCTTACAATGCGTTAAACAATAGCCTTCATACTTTTGTATATTCATACAAAGTCAGCTTATTGCCCCCACAAACTGGGTCCTCGTTTAACCTACCTTAGAAAGGATGGAAGGCTGAGTCAACCTTGAGCCTGGTAAGATTCGAACCTGCAGTAATTGCAGGCAGCTGTGTTAATAACAGGGTGCTTTAGACCACTGTACTACCAAGGCCCTTTGCACCATTTAATAATGGAGTTTCCGATATCAACTATGGTTGTAAATTAATGGGAAGTGCTTCAGACCATGGTCTATCACTGGTCTATCCAGCTTAGTATTATTGCTACAGCTGTCGGTGGAAAATCAGAGAATGACCCTGGATCTCACACTGTGTGCTCTACCATTGAATTATGTCCCTTTCTGGATGATTAAGCATTAGCAGTTATGCTGACCAAATTGTTAATCTGCCAGTGAAAGTAGAACAGAATATTTACAAGTCAAACAAAATGCTTATAATCTAAGTACGTATCTTCTGTGTCATGATAATATCCATATAACACTAAGCCCGCTATCAGCGATACTGGACTAATACAGCAGAGCATTTCCATACTGTAAACTATAATGAGATCATGATTTGGTAGATATGATTTAATTAAACAAAGCATATAGTCCACTATTTGGTTGAAATGGAATCTCATTTACACTATGTTTCTTCCCCCCCCCCAAATATCTCCCCAAAATAAACATGACTGTGGCCCACATTTTCTACTTATTTGTCCTTCAAATTCTTTTTAAGTACTTTTAATTACATTTTTCTGCACTCTTTCTTGCATCTAAAGCATCCTTGGTGTTCTCTGAGCTTAGTTGTTTTCTTGCAGATGTTTCATTACCCAAACAAGGTAACATCATTTTTGCTACTATCCTCTGGACACTAACACTGATGATGTTAACTAGTTTGGGTAAACATCTGCAAGAAAACAACCAAGCTCAGAGAGCACCAAGCACTTATTTCAATCCTGAGCCACAAATATTCTCTTTTATTGGTTTCTTTTATCTCTTTGACTCTTGACAGGTCTACCTGATTTTTATTCAATTCTCAATCTCCACACAACATTGTTATTCTCATATTTAGGGCTTTTAACTAATTTATACCTTTCAGCAGCTGGACTTCAAGCATTCTAATCATGATTGTTCTCTCTCAATTATAATTCTTACAGATTCCTAGATTAGAGGCTTCTATATGCTATAGGTGCAAAGGTTTTATACTTGTATATAAAATAGGTTATCTTGAAGTTAGCTTTAATAAATATCTCTGTTGGATAAGTGGAACAAGAATGTAAGAGAGAGAGGAGGATGAATTCTGATTGTACTACTCCCAAATCTGTATCCTACAGTTTAACCAAACCAGTTCTAAAAGAATGCATAGGATGTTATACATATGAAAAGACTCTAATGAAAGGGTATACAGATGTCTTTCATGCATTTAAATTGAAAAAACTAATTTTGAAGCTAAAAGGCAAACAACATTGTGCTAGGAGCCAGATGCTTCATATTACCGAAGTATTTCATGCACAGGTCTGTCACTCAATGAGAAACAACACAGACTGAAACAGAGGAGATCTTGAAAAAAATGACTTGTGGGAAATCAATCCATCCCTAAATATGTGTTTTATTATCTTTGGGTGTTCTTTTCTCAGTTACCACCATCATGAATCCAGTTCCCAGCATCCATGAAAAAGGCTCCCCCTCAAAACACATATCAAGATGCAGAGCACTGTGACTACAGACAAGTTGGGCGAGAGGAATGGAAGCAGATGCAAATATTGTTCTGCAGCCAGTAGTCTTGTTTCCATTAAAGGAGCTCGTATTGATGCCTGAACTCATGCTTCTTACAGATGCAAGATTTCCATAAAGCCAGAGTTGGGCACATGGCTATGGAATAAGCAGAAACTGAGTTATAATTCCCCACTAGTTTCCATTCAGTGCTAAACTGAAGAGAGTATCATATAAGAATTGTAAATTAAAAAAATAAAAGATCAAAAGGCAATTGCGAGCCAGCCTAGGATTAGTTCATATGTGACTAGATAAAATGGTTACTCTTGTGCTACTTTGTAGTTTATCTACTGATAAAAGCCCTTGTCATATAGTACATGTTTTCCATATATGAAGTTAACCAGGGAAGATTTTATTCAGCTTTTTGCATTTTCTAGACATTTTTCCCAATGGTCCTCCAAACCTCTATGTCATTCTTATCTCTCTCTTAAATGTTTGATTACAGCTAATCCATATTGATTCATATTACATATTTAATTTGCCTTTGCGTATATAATAAGTAATACTCCCTCTCAGTATGTTTTGATATTTTTATGCTTGTAAGAGATGACTAGAATCCTTGAGGAAATATTTATATATTAAACATTATTGAGCTAGCTGGATCAACACTTAGTTAAAGACATTTTCCTCATTTAAAAATTAATACAAATTTTTAAATATAATGTTCCATAAGTGTCTACTGAATACTGCCTGAATTTTGAAATGTTGACAGATCAATCCTTGTCCATCTTTTATTTTTTTCAGGACTGTATTTTCTAAAATGTAATTGTGTCCAAGCACATGTCCACTCCCCCCATCCTTTCTTTAAAAAAAATGTTATCATAACTTTTCTCTTTGAAAACACCTTGAAATTATACCTGTTTCCTACTTATCTATATGTAGCAGTCATTTGTAGAGATAGTTTAGGTTCGCTCTTCCTCAAGGAACAGAAAATTGCTTCAAAAGAAGAAGAAGAATGCAAAACCAGATTGATGAATCTTACTTGGCAAATTGAACCCTATAACACAGAATGAAAATAGGACTTCTTACAGAAAAATCTATAGAACAGTCTTCAACCAGAGAGTCATAATTGGATTAATTTTCCAGCTGTATATGGTATAACATGTCAGGGATGTATTTAAAAAGCAAAGAAGTCTAGGAAGTGGTTTAGCTTGGGGTTCAAGATATTAATGGATGAAAGGAATACCTTGAGCCTTTCAAATACCTATTTTGCCCTTTAAAATTCCCCAACACTATTCTCACCCAAGAAAGGCTTTAGGGGCAGCAGAAAGAAACTGCATGTGGCCTGTTCTTTTCACTCCTGCCTTAAGTCTTAGGCTTTTTTGTTGTTGTTGTTCATTTTTGCTGTTGCAAATGTGCTGACGATAACCTTAATGTAGTTAGTGAAGTCATACTGCATTGTGAATTGCAAAATCAAAAACAGTTCTCTAGTATAGATAACAAAGACCTACCCTTGAGTGATTGATGAGAACATTATATGAGTGCAATGGGCTGGAAAGTCATCATCTTGTCTTTTCCTTAGCCACAGGAAAGACATACTAGAGAGACCTCTTTTCTTCAGGCTATGCATAAGAAGGGTTTACATGGCATGGAAATGTGTTACACCAAGCAGAAGCTCATGAGTTTGCAGGGCACACAGTAAATCTGTTTAGTATCTGAGGCACAAAAGAGAACAGCACTCTTTTGATAGTGATGCCTGGCCCCTTTCATTTGCTTTTCTAAATATACCATTTGCTTCCAATTCATTGAGTGGCATTTTGCAACAGTGCATACTTTTCATGTGGTAGACTCTCTGATTGGTGGGTGGTGGTTTTTATTCTTAATTGGCATGAGTAAATGAAAGGTTACTTAGGCTCTGATGTAGTAGAGGTACTTCAGTCTGTTTAAAGCTGTTTGCCAAACTACAGCATCTGTTTTAACCTTCCATATTTCCCACTGAGTAATTTGTAGAGGGTTAATACCCTAACCTCTCACCAATTGCAACTATTCCTTGATTTGCTAGTATGTTTTTCATGTTTTAATAACCACGACTGGCTACTGTTAGTCAATGCAAACAAGGAAAACAGAATTCTGGTCTTGTAATTAGATATAGCTATATAGATAAACAAGACTAAGTGTGCGTCCACCACTCTTTGAGAAGGATGGAAGGAGAGTCCTTTTCATTTCTTTCACTGTGATGTCTCTTTTTTTATATTTTCCAAGAAAAAGATCCATGAGAGGGAAAGGGCTTGGTGTTTGTTTCCTAGCTTAATTTATTACCTATTGGTATTAAACAGAGAAAAAGAACAGGCACTTATCCATTTATTAGAAGACATTGGAAGAATATTAGGGCAGAAAAATCCTCACAAAGTATATGTGGATAAAAGGTAACTCCTTGTACTCTGTGAAGGGATGTTTGTCTTGGGCTAAGGAGCTAGGCATAATTTCAAAGTGCAGAGGCTATGCTGCCAGTCAGTATTAGAGTGTCCTATTTAGGCACCCTTGAGACCAAAGTGTTATATTCAATTTCTTTGCAATTTTATTTTCTTAATTCAAAGGTTCTGGTCAATTTTTTGTTTGACTTGTCTTAAGAAATTGAGATTTTTAAGGGTGACAGTTTTTGTTTACCTTGTTACAATTTTATCAGACTGATCTGCTAAGAACTTGTTCCTTTCTGAGATTCAAGTCACCCTTAATCTAGGGGGGTGATGCAAATTCTCTATTTGAGCAAAATTGAGTCCCTCAGCCTGAAGCTGCTTGCAAAAGCATGTTCCCCTTTGGAGCATTATCTCAGCTTCCTAATCACTGACCAGCTGTCTTGTTAGTGAATAGAACTGTGGGCCTCATGCCATGTTTCATGTGAGGTCTTGGCTGGGTGGCCAAGCAGGCAGCCTGCAGCCACCATCAAAGCAATTTGAGAGATATTGGCACAGCATTGCCTCCATTAATATCTGTTGTCACATGCTGTCATGCAACTTAAACCAGAGAGGAAATGACCACTGGAGACAGAGGAAGTGTGCTGGTAGCGTTTAGTGTCTTTAGACATTGTCTTTGAGGTTAAACAAGTAGATGCATTTATGTGATGTCCATAAACAGCTGTTAGGAAGCAAAACCTGATTTTTGGCCCTATCGCCATGTGTTTCTCTTCCAATAGGAAAAATGCTTTCAGCACATGCCATTTCTTAAATGTTAACAATAATTAACAAAACAATTCGACAAATGCATTTTCAGATATAAACTTAACTTCATTTAGTAAACATTATAGCTTGGGGAGATTATCAAGGAATGGATCCTCTTGAGCTGTAACATTAAATCAGCCAATGTTATTTTATGTTAATAAATTACCAATATACAATAGAATGAGATACAATTCCATGTTTCATTCATATAATTTTGCATTTTCTCCATTAATCTTCAGTTAAGGTTCTTCTAATATTTAGAAGACACACCAGCTTCATACATAATGCTAAGTTATTTGTAAAATAACATATATAAGTAAAATAACATATATAAGTAATCGGTAATTTTCTAACCAAATTATGAAAAAAATTTGATGGGTAATCTGGCAACATTAACTAGAAGATACTAGAATATATTATCAATATATTGTAATGCATAAATTTCATATTTATTTTCAACATAGAACGAAAATAATGCAAAATGTCTTTTATCTTGCCAAATGATTAGTAAATGTAATTTAATAAAAGCAACAGAAGAAATAACTATTAAGCATTACATGACCATTATTAAAGAATTTTTCACCAAACCATGAAATAAAATGAAATATGGAAATTGGGCCTGAACATTAATTTATCTTCACACAGGTATATGGATTTGTTAATGGTTAATAGTTCTTTTTCTATGTGAGCCCTTTGAAAAATTAATGTATGGGTGGATATAATATGCCAGTTAATTCCATTGCTTTGAAATAGGCTCACTTTATGATAGGTGGTATCCAAAATCTAACATTTTTGCTTCTTTTCTCCTAGGATATGATGTTTCAGCTGCTGCGAGGCCTTGATTTTCTACATTCACACAGAGTGGTCCACCGTGATTTAAAGCCCCAAAATATTCTAGTTACCAGCAGTGGACAAATAAAATTAGCTGACTTTGGTCTTGCACGAATCTACAGTTTTCAGATGGCTCTTACTTCTGTGGTAAGTTTCAATATATTTTGCTTATTTTAAAATCTAATTCCAAGATTAGGTTTTGTATAGATGCAATTTCATCAGTATGAAAAAATATCTGAGAAAACTGATAAATCAGGATTCCTATCTGTCAGTCTTTCAACATAGTCCAACAAAGTCCAGACAAGAAATCAATACTGTGTGAAACAATATGACCTTTATTGTAAGTTATAGTAACAAAATCTTGCAAATCTGAAAGCATTTCCTTCTTCCCTACCTTTACGTTCCACAGAACTAGGGAAGATTTTTTCACATACATTCTATATTGCCATTCCTTCTGTGGGCTGAAATATAACTTATCTGACCATTGTCCTGGCTGTGGCTTCTCCTTCTGTTCTCAAGGATATTCTCACAGACCATGACACTATCCCAATGCTCTCTAACTATGTTGGGCTTCCTTGATTTCCAGACATGGATAACATGGAGCAAAACTGGGAATTAGTGTCCACTGCATTAGTGATACCTAATGATGGAAACTTGATCCAAATATTAAAAATCGTAATTTGTTCGAAGCAGTTCTATACCTGGGAGGGGAAGAATTACATTTGCCAGTTATTGGGAGTTACAGCAATAGGGGTATCTTACTAAAACCAGCAACATTATATTTCTCCCCTCCCCCAGTCTCACAGGAAACACAGGTAGAATCATTTTGACAAACCAATGCTCTGTGCAAAAGTGGATTATTTTTTTTTGCATATTATCCATTTTCATATTCCCTTTTTTAAAAAAAAGTTTTTCAGTTTTATTTCTTATACACATAATATAAAATGTATGTTTTCTTATACATAATTAATCATACATATACATGTTTTCCTTAAAGAAAGCATTAAAATAAGGCATTTTAATTACATTCGGAGTTGCTCTTCTACCCTTTCTTCCCTCATTTCGCAACAAACCTTCTTCTTCTCCTCCTCTTTCCCTTTCCTCCCTCCTCTCCTCTCCTACTTTCTCCTTCCTCCTCTCCTACCTCATCCTACTTCCCCTTCTTTTCCCCCTTCTCACCTTCTCTCCTACTCCTGTCCCCTACCCTTCCTTCCTCTCCTTTTCCCTTTCTTCCATTCCTCTCCCTCCCTCTCCTCTTTCTACCCTCTACTCCTCTCTCCTGTCTATCTTCTTTGCTGTGGAATAGTCTCCTTATTTGGTATCCGAGCAACTCCTATATTCTAATAGTATATACTTTCTTTCAATTTATTTTCAGATTTATTCTATCTATCAAGATTATCATCATAATTGTACATTTATTCTTATTATCTTCTTTTTTTTCCTCCCTCCCACCCCCCTTTTTCATTTACTCTGGTGTCATCTGGGTTTCTATTTCTTTTTTATCCACTCCTTCATTTAACTTTCTATTTAAATTATTTATCTATCCTCTTATCTTCATATTATCTTATCTTCATATTTCTTTTCTAACCATATGTAAAATCTTCCTCATGTCTTGAAATACAGATTCCCCTTTATCTCTTATTTTATTCATTTCCACACAGTCTAAAATCTTTTTTATTACTTCACCTTCTGATGGTATTTTTTCTTCCAATTTTGTGCAAATACAATTCTTGCTGCTGTTGTTATATATATAGTTAAATACACATCTTTTTCATATTCCCTGATGGAAGCATCTACATGCACCATTGGTAGTTAATATATTTAGCTATGTGTATAGTAATTATTGAGGGGATATTAAATTTTTGGATGAATTCATATAATTTTTTTCTCTTTTGGTTTGTCATACATAGGAGCCCAGTTATAGTTTATGAATTTGATTTATGTGTATCAATCTGACTCATGTAGCTTGTTCAGAAAACATTATTTAAAGAAGAAGTCATGGCTTGAACCCCTAAAGGGATAACATTTAGAAAGAGATCTGCAACTATTTTAAAGCATGTAGCAGTTAAAAAAAAAAACATTAGCACAGAAAATACAGACATAAAATACATGAGTTTATGTATTTATCTGAAGAAAGAAAAATGGAAAAAGAAAAATAGAATGATAAGAAATGGTCTCACAGTAATCTTTAGGTGAGCATACTAATAAGAAATGCATTTTTAAAAGTATAAATGCACTTCAGTGTACTTTCCCAATTGGTGGGCAACTCTCCTCTTGGCATACTTATTGCTGAAGAGTTGTATACCATCAGTTAGATAGTATATATGAAGAATTAGAGAGCTGAGGCAGAATAGTAGTTGGAATAAGTGGTGGAATAGGAACAGGGGACCTAGGTTCTAATCCTCCCTTAGACAAGAAGAAGTTCAAAAACATGAAAATTAGAACATAGTTACATTAATACAAACTATGTATTAAAAGTAAATAAAAATAATTTGTAACAGGGTTCAGAGATAATTGATATGGAATAAAGATTGTTGAAAGACATGAAAGCTTCCAGATGAGGTCTTGCATATTGGTTGTAAATAATGAAAGCATTCCTAATTATAGTTAGGCTTCTTCAGAATCAGATCCAGGAACTGTGTAACATATCACTTGCTGAAATTATCCCAAAATATACTGCAACATTCTGCTACATTAATTTTGCATTTTGGTTCTAAATTGATAAACATTTATAAATATTGCAGAGATTTGGGTCAGTGTAAAGTCTCCTGATTCTGATATTCAGATCTATACCTTGTAACCCATAGAACTGGACAACTAATAATATATCAGATAAATTTATCTACTAAAATTACATATCCTACATACGAACTTTTAAAGTTATGGTTTCTCCATAACCCTTTCCAAATATTTCCTGAAAATTTTAAAAATAGAGATTATCAGTGCTTCCCAAAATAAGTTATTTAATGCTAACTTTAAGAATGAAGACATTCTCCTCCAAAATGTCTATGGAGATGCTCAGTCATCCAGATCATAGTTGTTCCAAAGGTGCTTTTTCAAAGGGCAACTGGATTTTCTTCATTTTCCCTTAAGGGCATTTCACTTCTCATCCAAGAAGCTTCTTCAGTTCTGACTTCTGAAGAAGTTTCTTGGATGAGAAGCAAAATGTCTTCAAGGAAAAACAAAAAAAGTTCACTTGCCTTTTGAAAAAGTACCTTTGGGTTCTCCTCCAAAAATTAACTTAGTCTCATCTCAATTTGAAATAATTGCTTTAACATGGAAGAAGAAATAAAACATTGTGAGTTTCTCAAGATAAATTGTTGTACAAGAATGCATACACAATGATGGTATAAAAAGACTCTTGGGAGGCCTTTTGCTATGACTAAATGAAATGTGAACTCCATGTTATTCCTCGTGGAAAACAGAAATGCAGTTAGAGAAGCTCTAAGAATTATTTACTGATGTATCAGCCAGTTCCCAAGATAATATTCATCCTTATTCTGTTTTAAGAAAAGCATTCCTCTAAGGGAATAAAATGAAAAATTAATATAATCTGATGTAAAAACACTGGCCTAACCCTACTGGGAAGCTTCAAACAAATAATTTCAAGTCATTTAATTTCTAATATTTATTTCCCCAGTAATAAAACATTATTTAGGTAGATAGGCCACTTAGGCATATGGCTGTCATTTGCATTCCCCTGCCCAATAGAATCAGTGCTCAAAATACATAGAGAGATGTTTATGGAAGTAGTAATAGTTATAAAGCACTTCAATAGCAATAGCAAAGTCTTCAATAGCAAAGAAAAAAGACAGAAACATGCCTCATCTCTAAAGGTTTATCGAGATTCTCAGTCATCCAGATCATGGTTGTCTCAAATGTGCTGTTTCAAGAGGCAACTGGACTCCCTGGTTTTTCTTTGAAGACGTTTCACTTCTCATCCAAGTAGCTTCTTCAGCTCAAGAGTTGAAGACCTGAAGAAGTTTTCTGGATGAGAAGCGAAACGTCTTCAAAGAAAAATCAGAAAGTCCAGTTGCCTCTATAAAAAGCACCTTTGGGACTCATCTCTAAAGCCAGAAACAAAAATATTTTGAAGACTTTTTTCTCTTTACATGAACCTGCCCAACTCATTAGACATGTTTTTTTGAGTTGCTCTATTCCTATATTTAAAATGGCCCCAATAGGGTCATTATATTTGATTGCACCCAGCTTTATACATTTGTTCCTTTAGAAGTTACATATTTTGTCATTTAGATGGTTATCAGTTAGATAGCATATGTGAACAATGAGAGCCAGGACAGTGTAGAGGTTGGACTAGATGCTGGAATAGGAACAAGGAGACCTTTTAAACAGACAGTTAAAATCATTTGTAACTGCATGATACAAGGTATCCATATTTTAAATGTTGTCTAGCAAAATAGGAATGTCTTATCCATTTGCACAAACTCTGAAAAAGAGTGAATTCCATATATCTGGCATCACCGCCTAGAAGACTTTGTCTTAACTAGCTATACCTGGACAAAGAAGATGATAGTTGTAATAGTTGGGGTGATCTCCTTAAGAGAAACTGATCTTCAAATAGCTGGCCTTAAATCATTTATGGTTTTATGGATAATCAACTATTTCTTTATTTCTGATTAATATTTAATCAAAAACTGAGGTAGTTTATGCAATACTAAAGTTACATGCTTCGTGAATCAGATTCTTGTAAACATCCTCATTGCCACATTTTGTAATGCTGACCCTGATATTTGTGAACATGATTTTAAAAGTAGCTTGGAGCAAAGGTCTTGCAGAAGACCTGGGGATTTTAAAAAAGTATTTTCATCTGGCATATGGTTTTGTGCTTCATTCAGGGACATTTTTTGTTTCTTTGCTGGTTTCTTTGTTAAACTTGTATGCCACCAAATCTAGGTAAAGACTAGGCTTTGACTATCAGTACTTGGCATCATTCATTTAATAATTCAAAGTTACAATGACTTTGAAAAAAGTGCTCTACTTGCATTTATATCCAATGCATCACCCCTGGGGTCTCATGATTGCAATTTGAGTGCTTGGCAGTTGTGGGGTCCTTGATTGTTTTCTTGCAGATATTTCATTACCCAACTGGGAATCATCAGTGTGTAACATTAATATAAGTATTCATG